AGTTATTACAAGTTATTACAAGTCAGTACGAGTCATCAGAAGGAAATAGCGGGAGTCATTAGCCCAAGGGAATAACCGGAATCAGTAGTAACCTACTGGACGTTAAATCGGTGTTGGCCCTAGTCCAGTGTACAATTCAAAGTGCTATAGCCGGGTAATAGGTAATTGTAGTGAACATCCACAATAAACGCAACATTATTGGTGAAGTGCGAGTTGTTTTCAGTGTTCTCCCTCTCCTTGTGTGAGCAAGGCCCAGAAGTCGCCCTGAGACAGAATCTCGTCCTACCGTCTGAGCAGTCGGAACCCCAAACGCCCGCCTATCCAAATCCCCACCTTGTTTTCCCCGTTCCAAACTCGTGGATTTCACCCAAGTCCACTGGCGCCCATACAAATTCAAATTCAGAGCAATCCCACACCCTAACCTGAACCAGAAAGCAACAGGAAGCGGCGGATGCAAGTGGAGACCACAAAGGGGCGAACGTGAATGACAGGTATAAGTGACGACCAACTCGTGAGGCTTGAAGTCTCACTGAGCGGTAAGGAAGACGAAAAGGAGGGCGGTAAGAGGTGGCGCCGAACGTGTAGGCGAACGGGAGAGGGCGGTAAGAAGTAAAACAACATATAAGAAAAGGTTCCAGATGTGAATCACACTTCTAGTAAGACATGGGTTTAGGACATAGATTAATAACACAATTTTAGGATAAAATGTATAAAGAAGTTTTGGGGCTCTTTTAATAATGAATTAAAAAATGACAAGGTATGTACAGAGAGAAATGTTGGACCCCATAACTCTGTATACAGAAACCTTTCTGGATGATTAATTGACACACAGTCTTCCAGGCTGCCTTTATCAGAGCTGCCAATGCATTCTTTCTTCTATCTGTCTTAAATGTAGTAAATGATGATATGAGGAACTTAATCTTTACGTCTCTACGTAATTCTTTCTAAATCCTAAACCTTCTGTCTCATCCACTTGATATTTTATATTTTAGCGCTGAGTAATGACCATATATGCAGGTCCTGCAGCAAGACTGGAAAGAGGCATTCTGTAGTGTACAGCACAAAATCCCAAACAGTGTTCTTTACCATGTAAGTTTTGAGGTTTTCACGGCGATGACTATGAAGAAAGTCGTCCTCTGGGATCTGGCGCCGTGTATTCTTGGTTTTCACCGACGTTTCAGGGAAACCGGTTCCTCTTGTTTACCCGCTACCTACGTGCCATTGACCTCCAAGTTGCCTGGATTCACTGGCCGGTCCCCCCCCCCCGGACCATATATGGCCTTAAATCGCTGTTCACTGTTCCCATTGGTCCCCTCCCCCTTCCTGCTTCCTATATAAACCAGCGCTTTTCACTTCCGAATCATTGAAGCTACTGCTCTCTGTATTCGCAACGCGATTCACCTGCCCTGAAGATGGAGGCGATACCTTCCTCCGAAACATAGGTGAAAACCAAGATTACACGGCGCCAGATCCCAGAAGACAACTTTCTTCAGTGTTCTTTACCATTTAGTAAGCATATCTGTGGTATGTTGATAAAATCTGGTTAGCAGTTTATGGTGTATGTAAAGAATGACATTTCTGTACTTAAGTGGACACTTGGCTTCAGTATTTGCCAATAACGTTTTCTTCTGATATCTCCAGTTATAGACTTGGTCACTTCTCTTGTCCTAGAACACCTGACAGGTTTGAAGATGCACCTTATTAATTCACAACACCTTGAGTTTGAACCCTGTTTACACATTTGATGCAATGATGATCTTAGGTCATCAGCATCACACAGACTTAACAACAGCTGTGAAGGCCATATATTTCCTGCATTCTCTAAGTTTTGGTATAGTTAGGCCAGTGCTGGTAACATAGGATGATGTGCTGTGCTTACAGGTTAAGCTAACTGGGAGGTCACAGGATGCCTCAATGGTTTGGGCAGGTCCTGGATTGTTGGCTGTAATTACTGGTGATCTCTCTGTTCGCTTCTGGGATCTGGACACAGGCGAGAGTTATTTGTTGGATGCTGAACCTGTCAACTCAGCACTTGCTGCCTCTGATTCATCTGCTGGGGCTTCTAACTTACCTACTGAAGTCTTTACAAGCCTGTCTTTCTGTGCACAAAAAGGTGAGTCATTCTGTTCATTAATGCTATCCAGCCTTTTTCTTTACGGCTTCTGGAAGAATTAAACTTGTGGTGTGGTGATAGATCATCCGACTTGTATTGAGGTGACCCTGTTTGATAACTTCACTGATCAGTGAGGATCAGAATGAGGATTGAGTTTGTAACTGTTTCTGAACCACCAGGCCGCAGCCTCATACGGGGCCCTGGCATCAATTATGCTGGGCCCTAGCCTTATAGAGAAAATAATTTACCGGGCTGCGGTCTGACAGAAATTGAGAACCACTGGTTTATAATACCTTGCTGGCTGGTTTGGCCTCACACATTGAAAAGGCAGGCAGTTGTAGATAAATAAGGTTCATTGGTTGAATGGTTGTTAGTATGGGAAAGTTTGTATACTGAGAGAAACCGTCATTTTGCGCCATTCTGTCTGGCACAGACTCACCTATAGATATACCTGTCTTTCTGTGGTGAGAAAGTGGCATCTAGTGACAGATATAACAGAGCCAAATGGCCTTTGTCTGACAACATTCCGTGAGATCCGTACTTATGATCAGTGGATTAGAACATGAAACAAACATAGATGGATAAGTAAAAGGTAAAGCTATCCCTGTAACAGGCCATGGAGGCCCATAGGGTTGTGAGACGTTGACGGTCCCACATTATCTAGACCAGGCATGTCCAACGCGTCAATCCAGGACGATTTTTGGTCGATATCATAGGCCTATAAGGAAATTATACGTGAAAGGCATGTAAATTCACTTGTAATATAATATGATTATATTCAGATTTTGAAGGGAATACACNTAAATTCACTTGTAATATAATGATTATATTCAGATTTTGAAGGGAATATACATATTAACGTAGTCTGTACTTTCATTGTATGTTGCTTTTAAAACAAACATCATGTGTCGTGTTATTTTTATCAATATTTTTGCTTAAAGCAAGGTACGACGATAGGAGGGGTGGTAGATCACTGGCAGTTTTGACACTGAAAAGTTGATCAGAACCTGTTTGAAGTTGGACATGCCTGATCTAGACCATCGGCTCACCGATGGCGGTAAGGTTGTCAGCCTTGTGCGTTAGCTGTCCTTTACCCCCCAGGAAGATTCCTGGTACTGATTTCTATTAGAGGTTGAGTCAACACTAGGGCCATAGTGTGGCTGGAAGGGTTAGGTCAATTGAAGAAAAATCCATCTCATCAGGACTTGAACCCATTACTGTCCGGCTTGTAGTACAGTGCCTCAACCAACTACGCTACCACATGCCCCCCATAGACGGATAGATCTTGAATAAAATAGGGTGTGAAGGTGTGTACTGGATTCATCTAGCTTCAGGGTGTCTGCTGAACATCATAATAAACGTTCAGGTTCCACAGAACTGCAGTATTACTGACTTAAGTGAATAATTGGTAGCTTCTCAAGAATGTTTTTGCTGTATGGAGCTATTTAATTAGTTGCATTTTCATCATCATTTTAATTAGCAGGGCATATTTGTATACTAAACTTATTATCTGTTTTGTTACAAATAGGTATACTATCAGCAGGCACAAATGTTGGTTCCATTGTCATGTGGCGATTTATCGTGGGAGATCTTAATGGAGGAGATGGTCTGAAAACGGGAAGAAGTAGATCTCCTGTGTCAACTGATCCAGCTCAAAACTGGCTCCGAGAACCACCTTGTAATGTACGTGGGGCAGTGAAACACATTGCATGGAGTAGGTCACATCCGCTTCTGGCCGTTAATACCATCACTTCTGTGTATGTGCTGCGTGAACAAGAACTCTGTGCACATTATAGTAAGTTGGTAAGTGCCACAGTCTCTTCTTATATGTCAGTTGAAGGTGCTGTAGAAGAAATAAGCTGAGGTCACTAGTATTGCTATTCTCTGTTCTGTCTCATTGTTTTATAAATGAGAGTTATTAAAATGAAACCCATCCAGGGATTGTTCTGGGTGAAGCATTAGAGGCAATTAAAATATCCCGTGGGCATTGAGCCAGGCATCCTATTGACACACCAGTCAGTTGACCTACTCCGCAGATAATTCTGCTACTGGAAACACTGCACCACTATGACCTAGGATTGCTCCAGCATTGCCAAATGTGTGTTGCCGTGAAACCAGTAATGAGAGAAAATCGCTCATTACAGTAGAAGTTCTGGGAAAGTACAATGGTAAAAGCTGGCAAATGTTGCAGTACTTAGTATTATTAAATTTATGATGCATAAAGATGTCCTCATGAAAAGAAATTTGTGTTGTAAGAATGTACTCATTGAGGGCTCTTTGGAAAATGGTAATAAACTTTTGGGTTCGATAAAATGTTGGGAAATTCTTGAATAACCAAGTGACTAGTGCCTTCTCAAGAAGGACTCAGCTCCATAGACTCAGTTTATGTGTTTGTTAGCTTCTTGGCTTGCCACTTGTTAGTTAGTTAGTTTGTCAGTAAGGTGTTAATCTGTTAATGCTGTAGTAAATACATACAGAAAATCTTTATATTCTGTAATATTATTTTTCAGTAATCAGCTATTATGGAAATCTTGTGGAAGATGGCTAAGTTAATAATGAATTTGATTTAGGTAATTTGAAAATTAGTGTTCTGTCACACATCCCATCTTTTCAAGAGTGTAATTGAAAAAGAATAAAAAAATAATTCTCCATTTAATGAGGATAGTCAAGGGAAATGAAACTGAGATTCCCCCCTGACAAAGTGTGATATCAAAAATAATATGATCCATAGCCTCTAAATTGTTTCATACAAAAATTTATGATGCTTCACTTAACAAGGACACCCAGAAAAAGTACTTGGGTTTTATTTTTAAAATTTTTGTATAATAAGTGACTAATTCTTTATTTATTTCAGAATACTTCTGAAATGTGTAAGTTACATAGCATCAAATGGAAGGATGACTGAATGATGAAATGTGAAGGATTTGGAGGGCAACTATTAAGGTTATTGAATCTTACTGAATGAAGTTTTCTGTAACTTTGTATAGGTATTGAAATTATGAAGTTGTATTAAACATCATTGAATGTACTATGGTCTGGATGAGCTGGGGTTCAGTTCCTGACAGAGGCAAGAAATTTTGCTCCTCATAGTTTCCAGACTGGCTTGGGGCCCACCTAGCCTCCTATGCAATAGTTGATGGGAAGTGTTTCCCAGAGGCTAAATTGGAATTGGTGTGAAGCTGATGACTCACTTCCACCTTGTGCCAAGGTTAGGAATTCTGGAGCTGTACCTCTCTTCCACCGTGTCTCTTCATGGCATATTGCTTAATTAATTAAATACATGGATCAAGGGTAACTTTATCTTTGTTGAAATTTCATGCTCTCTACTTCTTCAGTTATGTGTTAGACAGAAACATTGATAACATCCTAAGTGTTGTTTCAGTAACATATATGGAAGAAAAGTATAAAACTGTTTAACAACAGATGAACAAGAAAGTTGAATTACCAACTGAGTATAACAGAGCCAAGTTGCTCTTGTTCAGGTTTCCGCAGTACAAGTGTCGCCAAGTCAGCTGGTGGTTGAAGTGGAACTGAAGGAAGATAGAGGGAAATGCCACACACTTGAGCTGAGTACAGATCTGCAAGTGAAAGGAGTGGCTGTAACAACTGACCATGTTGCTTTGTGGAGCAGCAAGACATTGGTCGTGTATCAGCTGATCACTGAAGGACTGGTTGAAGATGCAAGAATTATGAGTAAAACTGTAGGTAGGTGTCATTTACATTTATGTGCGAGTAATTCTATGGAGTACAGTACTTTCCTTGAAGCTGATAGCCACTTAGGTAGACAAGAATTTCCCAGACTTTTCTGGAACACAGTTTTCAATATTGTATACACAAGAGCACACCACTGGACCCTCTCATGAGCCAGATGAATCCAGTCTATACCCAGACATTCTAGTTCAAGTCTTATTGCAATTGGCAGTCATTCAAGATGCTTGTGTTGGTGTTGATTCCCTTGTCAGACTCATGACTAGATTTTTTTGTCTCTTTTGACTTACAGTGTTTGATGTTAAGGAGGTGTGTTTTCTGACAAGAGGTCATATCTGTCCTTTGTCAGCTATTTCTAATTCCATAAGATACAAATTAATATTATCCTCACTAATGGTCTGTGCCTTTCAGGTTTTCTGACCAAATTTGTATGTGCATTTATCATCTCATCCATGTAAATTCCTTCATCTTCTTGCTATTGTTTGCACTTATATTCCCTTATGCACTGTGTTCATAAACTCTTGTAATGCATGTTCTTCACTTAGGATGAGAGAACTTTATAGTAGCGGGCATCCCAAAGGCTGAATCCTCATGCCATGAAAATGTTAAATATTTCCATTCGACATAATGGACATTATGATCAGGGATGGTAGAATCTCTGTTTCTTTGCGAATGACTTAACTACGTGGTTGAAATTCTTTCTGACAAACTGTTGTATCAAATCTAACAACACTAGCAACAGAAATTCTTTCATTGGACTATACCTCAATTAGTTTAATTTAAATGACATGGAATTATTACCATAAGATTCATTTTAGTATCTTCTGTCATCTTATTTGTTTATCAATTCCATTGTAACCTGCTTGATTTAACCATCTTACCAATTTACATACATAACATTTTTGAATTCATGATGTTTGAATTTGTAATACTGTGACATGAGGGCTTATAATCAGAATTCTGGAGCAAGAGCATCATCCATTGCTAGGTTATGACACAGTAAACATGCAATGGCGCTATTAAATCGGCATTCATTCCTATGCAATGGTTGGTAACCATCATGTGACCACAAAAACACAATAGGGGAACTGTGGTAGGTGGTGTTTTCTGTGGGATCTACCCCAAGGATGTGCACCAAGGTTCTAAGCCTGCCTGAGGTGATGAAAAGGGAACCCAGTGCCTGGGTCTATAACTAGGCCACCCTTTTCCTGGGGGACATGAATATGGGGACCTGACCCTCCAGCTTGGGGGAGTCTCGAGTCTGAGACAGTAAAATATGGTTCTGAGTCCAGCGGGACCCAGACCCAAGAATGACTGCACTGGCAAGGGGCCAGCAGCAATTGTAGAAGACACACTGATCCTCTCGTGAGAGAGGATGTTACATAAGGACTATAATCACAAGTGTTTGGTTGAAAAAATAAATACTGGGTCTCAAGGGGCTTGGTGCCAAGACAAAGTGATTGGCGTTAAACTGCCAGTTATAAAGTAACTCTGACTCTGACTGAGTCATTCTGGACTAGGAAGTCATGAGCTACTGTCATGGGTTAGTTTTCTGAGGATTCGTCAGCCGGTAAGGACAGAAGCTGAGGAATTTATGGTGTTGGGCATCATAACCAGGCAGCAAATAGTGAAGATGTGGGATAATTAGTGTGTGTCATACTGAACTAAGAAGTGCATAAACTAGTGAAACACCTATAATTAATTGTAGTTACAATTTGGAAGAGTCCAACGGACCTGATTACCAGTACAAACCCCATCCGTAGTCACTAAACATGTGATGATGCTGTGGAGAGGTAAGAAAGTGGAAAGCATGACCTTGATATTGGAAATTCTGAAGAAATATATAGAAGGAAATACCAGATAGGAGGTGATGATCAAGTAATACTTTGAATTTCCAAAGTATGTGCATTTGTTGATGATTTTTCATGATCATAATACAACTGATTTATTGTTTAATAAAGTTCCTAAAAATGAAGCGTGAAGTGTGTTGTTCAGTCTGCACAGACTTGGTAGATCAGTCACTGAGTGAAGATTAAAGTCTTCAGGAATATGATGTTTGTAGTCAGGTGCTGACTGTTACTGACATTCCAAAGTGATCGGTAATGATCTACCAGACTGCACCACATGACATCCCAGCATCCATCATCATAGTCACTGCATGAGAATCTCAAATATGATAATAACTAAATTCCTGCTTTCCATTTACAGTGCCGTCTTTCCTGACTGAGGCACCAGTATATGCATTTTGCACTAAATTTTTTATCAACTCTTTAAGTATCTTACCTTTCTATCATCTATTACCATGTAATGACGCACTCTAGTTGAATGAATTTTGAAGAAATAATTGTTGTTACCACTGAAGTTAATTTTTCTTCTAATGGGCTGTATAGAATATAACCCCTTATCTACATAAAGATAAATTTTTAAATGCATTGAATTTAATTGTAGTAAATGTGAAGTCCTAAAGTTATATCTTGCTTGTATATAGTATGCAGTTTTCAAGATAATGATCATCAAAGACTAAAAGTTTCTTTATATTTGTATTGAAAACTCACCTGGTGTTGATGTGCTGCCAGCCTTTCTGAACTTTACTTTTCCTTCAACAAAATGATGGAACAACTTTGTATGTTTCCTTCCCAGTGCGTAGAAAGAAAGTAGGAGCTTTCATGACAAGTTTATAAATATTTGTGTAGGTTCATTTTCCTGTGAAGTAGAATCTGCCCTTATACATGACCAAAGTCTGCTAGTCCTTGAAGAAGACGGAAGTGCGATTGAGGTGCGGACATTCCAGGGCACAATAAAACAGATGCTTCCCACTAGTGACATCGAGGGTCGACCAATTGGCATACAGCTCTGTGGATCATTCCTTACTGTGGCCACTGCTGCAGGCTGGATAAAGATATGGGACCTCTCACGCAGGTATGGTAATGGAATGTCTTGAAAATAGTTAATGTAAGAATGATGACCCTGATCTTTAAGAGTTCTGAGTGGACATTTTGCTTGTGTGGTATATATTTTCAAGGAACAGTACTATATCTTAAGAAAATCTCTTGTTATCTGCCACTGAAACCTCCTCACTGTCAATTTTCCCCAGATTCCATTACAGTGAATCCACATTTTAAGGGTTTTCTTTGCAGATCAGTGGATTTGGACACAAAATGGAAGTTATTTGTCATTAAAATTGCTGACTTTGGGTCATTGAAAATAAAAATTATATGAGGGAACCTTGAACTAAGGAACATTAAATGGAGATTCCACTGTTATTTGTTTCAGGACTTTCTTCATCTTCATTTCGTTCTTATTACTGATCTGTAAGGGTCACTTAGAAGTTTCCTTGTATGATCCATAAGCACCTCAGACATAAAGTATCAGTAGCAGAGCTACTTCACATTGCACTTGCTGTGTACAGCAGACACTAATGCCTAACCTGTGGACAGTGCACTCAGGTAAACCATTACACACTTACACTTACACTGCCATACAAGAAACTTGTGAAAGAACTCTCAAGCAGTAAAGTGTATTTTATGCTTGCAATTTTGTTCTGTTGTCTGGTCACACACACACACACACACATGATCTAATAATTCTCCTTTGTGTTTTAGGGAAGCTAAACAGCACTTGAGTCCAAAGAATCTTGAAGATGCCATAGATGATTTTGGAGAGATCATCATGGCAACTTGCAACAGCAATGGAACGAAAGTCTCCATAACAGTTGCCAAGGTACGGATGTTACCATCTTTATGACTAGATTTGTAGCATCTCAGTAAAGTGACATAATGAGGTAGACAACCATCTTTTTGCATATTGTATGGAGCTGAGTCCTTTTTGAGAAGCCCACAATTGTGCAGCTACTCAAGAACTTCCCCGCATTTTATGCAACCTCAAGGTTCATTACCATGTTCACAAGCGCTCTCCACTAGTCCCTATCCTCAGCCAGATCAATCGAATCCACACCATCCAATCCTGTCTCTCTAAGATCCATTTTAATAATGTCAACCCACCTACGTCTTGGTCTTTCAAGTGGTCTCCTTCCTTCCGGCTTTCCCACCAATATCTTGTATGCATTCCTACTCTCCCCTCTTTGTGCTACATTCCCTGTCCATCTCATTGTCCTTCACTTGATCATTGTAATTATACTTTGTGAAGAGTGCAAATTATGAAGCTCCTCATTATGCAGTTTTCTCCAACCTCACGTCATTTCATATCTCTTTGGTTCAAATATTTTCCCGAACACCCTGTTCTTAAACACCCTCAGTATGTGTTCCTCCCTGAAAGTCAGGGGCCAAGTTTGGATCATTAGAGTATGTTGCCTGTCCAGTATTTACAAAGTCAGTGACAAGTTTCTTGCCTTCATCCTTATCTTCCCTTTACATCCCTCCCCCTTCTCATCCTTTGTGTTCTATTTAGAAAGATGGTGTATAATTTACTGTGATACACTTCATAAGAGCATAGGGGTTAATTTGCCAAAGAGTGTGCAGAAAATGTAATTAATCTTGTTTAATATGTTTTGACTTTTCCATAGTCAAACTTCTTGCCTGACCCAAAGCTGTTCCTGTGGGACATTGAATCAGACAATCTGCAGTACTTCAACCTTGCGTCAGGAAAGCTAGACATTCATGATGTTGAAGATACAGAACATCATCCTGTAGATGAAGAGCAGTTGGCAGCAAATTCAACAGATGAACAGTCAGTCGTTATGCATACTCCAAGGTACTGCTTATGCAAAACTATAGTTAGCATTGTTCCAGCTCTAACTCTTATGTGAGACAAAGTATTGGCCTCCAACAAAGAGAAGTTGAGGCATTTACCAAGGCTCACTTATGTGTATATGCATACCTGCATAAATTTCAAATGATTCTTGCCATTGGCATTAACACAGTGAACATCAGTATGTTCCAGAATAATCAGCAGGAGGGTCAGGGTCAACTAGTTCACCCACCAACTGCTTAGCCTCTTGTTCACTGAAGAATATAAATGTTAATGTACAATTGTCTGGTAATATACTCGTACTCTGCAGATCTGCATGTTTTTCTTGAGATAAAATTGGCTTACAGAATCTCATCTGGGACAACATCACAGGATGTGTCTGGTAGGTTTGCCTTGTCACACCAGTGGGACGAGGAGGAGCCGAGGCTGCTTGTCTGTGAAGCCAAGCTTCTTCCAAGGTCAGGGAGCAGTAGAATAAGTATGCCTCAGCCTGAGCCCAATTCTGGGATGTTTTCATCCAGAAGGGCTTCATCTTCCACCATGACAATGATTGTAGCATCTGACTCCGATGATAACAGCAAGGTCAGTGGAAAGGAATCAGAGATGTCCAAACACATACATTTTGAAACTCTATAAAACTGCTATAAATCTCTGAAGTTTCATATTTGGTTGGTTTTATTTTCAGTAGCTTATCATTCTGTAGAAATGTATTTTAAAGATTTTTTTGTATATTCAGTGTTTAAAGAAATATTGCTTAAAAATTAATAATGTATGAGAATAACGTTTTGAGTTCAGGACAAGAATTTGGAATACTTTTGAGAATCAAAATAAGAATAAGACCAATATTATCACTGTAATCACAGTTTATAATTCTAGCCATTTTTTCATAATGTTCTACTTTCACTCCCTTTTATTATCCGACCCTTTCTCAATAAAAGGTTTCCGAATTCATTTATGGGGCCGTAGCGTTTTTCACCATGGGCAGAAAATGAGAGAGAGTAACAGGTCTTATTAACAAGCTGATTCATGCCAGCGTTGCCAAACATTATGAATGTGATGACTCAAGTAGTTTGTACATTACTGTTGAAGGCAATAGCAGTTATCAGAACATTTTTGAATATTGAGATTGAAAATTTGACATTCAAAGTAAGATTTTTTTTTTTTTAAGTATGTATTTGATGTCAAAAATTTAAAACTCGCATGTACCTCTTAAAAGTGAATTTTGATTTTCAAGTAAAGTGATAGTTCCCATTTGCTGACATGTTTAAAAAATTTAGGTGTAAACCTAAATGAACCAAATACAAACAATGAAAGGACCACCAAGGACAGAATTATTTGTCACAAAGTGTGAACTGTTTCTTTTCCTCTCCCTACCATCTAGTCAGAAATTAGTTGCAGTTGCTATTTAGTGTTGGAATCTCTTTTGTAAGCAGGTGATTTGTCAGTCCACAGTCAAGGTATTGAATATTTTCATTCTACTATAAGAATGAATAAAGGAAATACAGAGGACTTTAGGTTTGACATCTAGTCTGGAGAAAAGTTTATCCTCCCATAAAAATGACAGTTTTCTTGTATTATTATTCATTCAAGCATTCATAATACGTGGGTTACTTCAAAAGTCATGGCAACTAATTATTTTTGGGCAAACATGTTACAGTGAAGTAAGTTCAAAATATACTTATGAAAGGGCATGATATACCCCTCCGATTGGCTTAGTCAGATCAGGTAGATGTGAAGGGGTATAGGTATAGTAGACAAGAACAATTGCACATTAGGGAATGACTGTTTTTTTTTCATTCTTTAATCCTCGAAAAATTCAATTGGGATTAAGAAATAAAAAATTCAATGTGAGTTTCGTAAAATTCGATGCACAGTTGCCTGGTCAATCCCTGTATGTCTCTCTAACTCCTTCGGAGACCAGCGCCTATCTTCCTCCATGCACTGCCGATCACGGCATGAGAAACATCGGTACGAACGGACACAGGGCGTCCACTACGTTGCAAGTCGGCACTTTCTTCTCTTCTACGTTGGAATGCTTCTAGCCACCTTGCAACAGTTCTGTGTGGTAGAGCACGATCACCCAGAGCTTCCACAAGCTCTGAGTGACATTCAGTCGCATTTCTGCCGCCAAGCACTGCTATTTTCACATAACAACGCTGTTCCAGCCGGCTAACCTTCATTCTCGATGAAGGTTATGATCACACTGACTTCGCACTGGACTCGCTTCATTGTCTTTGGCCTTCCACGTCATCTAGCAGCATCATTAGAAATCAGACGTTGCTGTCTCTCAGCGGCAAATTTGGAAATTCCGGTTGGAGCTTTCAAAATTTTGGAAAAAATATGTTGCCATGACTTTTGAAGTAACCCATGTATGTTCATTTAGAGGTGTACAATAGCTCAGGCTTTCAATATTGCAGCCTGGGTTCAGTCCTGGTTCAGTTGATCTGGGATTTGTGGCACTGGGGAAGGTTTCTTTGAATACTTCAGTTTCCCCTAATTCTCATTCCACAGAATCATCTGTAATATAAGGATGCTACAGTGCTCCCTCTAGCAGCCTGAGTGCAAAGAGACCTGGTCTAACTCCACCCAAAGAATAATAGTAATAATAGAAAGAAGAAATATTCATTTACAGGGAGCCGAGGTTGTGTTGGTGACTTTCTTTGCAACCCCCGACTCTGAACAGTTGCTGCTTCAGGATGTCACCTCTCTACAATCTGGGAAACATTCCCGCTTTCTTGCTGTCCATACTCCATACTATGTCGTATTGTGCAAACACTCTCAGCAGCAGGTGAGAAAAATTTAGAAAGTTAAAGCAAATTTTATTCATGATAAATCCATTTTGAAAACCTAATATTTGCTCTGGCCGTAAAGGAGTTGCAAGCCACAAGCTTGTTAGATCATCTTGACATACTTGTATTAAAACTGCCACAGCCAAAGTTATTGCCTCACTGTTAATTTCTTAGTACAGAATTTATTTAAGTAGATAACATCACTTATGATATATCAATGTTTTGGGTGAAAAAACAGGCTTTCATATTATGTAAGGTGAATGGAATACCTCCGTGTTCCTGAGACTTAGATACTACTCAGCTAGACCTGTGACCACTTTGAACTAATCTGAGGTAGTGTTGTCGGTTTAACTGAGCAATTGCATTTATCCCCAAGTAGCCTTGGCATTTCTGACAGTTATTTCTGTGGTGGGGCTTGTCAGTGAAAGGGTTCTTGAAACCTATAAGTTCACATGTTTACAAGATCCCTCATTACTCAGATCCAGTACTGTGACTTCCTTCCAGCTGGACTGAAATTAGAAGGAGCTGTCAACATCATCTGTGTCTTATTGTTCATAAAATGTTTGTTATTGACAGACAACAAAATAAGTCATAGGATTATATCATCCATCCTTATATTTAATTAATTCATAACAATAACGGAAAATATTTCCCCTCTCTTATTTTTCAGGGCTCCAAGACATTGTCTGGTATAGTAGAAAGACTGATAATGAGAGATTTTGAAGGTTTGCAGAACTGTGATAAACCAACTCGTGATGCTGTTCTAGACTTCAGCTACAATTTAAGTATTGGCAATATGGATGAAGCATTCAGAGCAATCAAAACTATACGGAGGTGAGCGTTGAGATTCTGTGAACAGAAAATGACCAAAATGTTTGTAACATATTGTCACGTGTTGGGTGTATAACGCAGCAAATAACTTCATGCCATGTTGGATATAGCGAATGTTATTTCACACTCGCTCTTTCAATCACACAATTTACAATTTCACAACTACTGCCATCTGCAGTATTACAATTACTTGGTCTGCGAATGTTAGACTACAACTGACTGGTTGACTGACTCCCTGGCTAACTCATAACTAACTCTTGAATAGTCTTCGCTGCTGCTTATTTAGCCCCATTACAGACAACACAGAAGACAGTTATGTAATAGGCACCACTGTTGTCTGACACTGTGTTTGCCGATAGCCTAGCAATGCTGTCGGGAGTTGTTTACAGCTGCATAGCGACCGTGGCGTCTCTTGGTCACGTAACCGCTGGCGGGGTAGGCGAAGGAGTGTTGACTTCCTTGTTGCCCTAGTAACGACAGCACTCCGATGGTGTTATGTCACCGCTGGCGGAGGGAGGGGTGTCCTGCATAGCGCAACACGTCACACTATTTTGACTTCAGATTGGAACTGTGCTTTAAATATGAATTCATATTTTGAACTTTTGCAGATCTTAGCTTTCTTCTATCTCCATCTTCTCCTTCTCCTTCCCCTTCTTTCTCCCATGCACTAAAAGAATACATATTTGAGTAATTAAAAAGTTCTTACATTTACATCTGCAACCCATCTCTGAGCTACAGTACTCTTCTCTGAGTGATTATACATCTATTTATACATTAACTATATATCATGGCATGAAATTGTTAAATCTGTTTTGTATTTCTTTTTGTGTTTTGGTTTATGTATGTGTAGATGACAGTTGTAGGTGAAGGCAAAGTGGTCTCCATGTGTGTGCATAATAAGTAGACCTACACCAGCCCTTGCACCTCAGCCTTGAATGATCTATTGTACATACATAGCCATACAGTCTCCATATGTAACATTTCAGGGTCCAGGGTGAATACAGGTACAAGTTTGAACAAGAATTTTCATTATCAAACAAAAGAAATACCTATAAGGAATAGTAGTTGCTTATTACAATAAATTTTTGATAGCTGTTCTAAATGGTCCATAGTAGCCTGCAATTTAATAGGTACTTTAAAACTTATTTTTTTGTTCCAAATGAAAGAGCACATCCATCTATGTAACCATGTAGTTTTAAAACAGATGACATGGTTAGTAGTCTACTGAATTAACTATTTGGGACAGAGCCCATCTTCAGAACCTAATAGTCACTCAGCTAGTTATGAAATTGATTTCTTTTACTCTTTTCGCAAGGTTATGCATCTAGACCCTATCCTGAGCCAGTTGAATCCAATGTGCACCATCTTATGATATTTATTTATGACTAGTTTTAATATAATCCTTCTGTCTATTCCTTGATACCACAGATGGTTATTTCCCTTCATGTTTTTTAACTAAATGTTTGTTTTGTCACCTGTCCATGAGTACCAGGAATCTTCCTATGGGTAAAGGGTGGCTGGCACATAAGGCTCCTCAACACCCTGTTCTCAAACATCCCCAATTTTTCTTCTCCCCTTAGGCTGAGAGACCATGTTTCACACTCATAAAGCAGAAAGTAAAATGTCATTTCCAGTATACCCAATTAAGTAAGAATAATGTGTACCTTGTATTACAGTGAGGCAGTCTGGGAAAGCCTGGCGCGCATGTGTGTAAAGACTAAACGTTTGGATGTTGCCTTTGTGTGCCTTGGGCATATGAAGCATGCTCGGGGTGCCATGGCTCTGCGGGAAGCCATGAAGGAGCCAGAGCTGGAGGCTAGGGTAGCCATGCTTGCTGTACAATTGGGACTCCTTGTGAGTTGTATCTAGACTTTCCATTTTTTATTTCTTTGTTTAGTTTTCCACATCTGTATTTTTGAGCCAGAGGAACAGAATGGTCCACATTATAAAGGAGGAATAAAGAAAATATTGAAAATATTTTGGGCTTTTCTGCACAGAAGCATATGGCCTTATGTGTTATATCATTCTCCATCCTACAAAGCCAGTCCTGACCATTCCACCTCTCCCCCACCAACCTCTAGTTCCCCTATTCACAAAGCAGCATTGTGCATACCATCTCATTTCTTGTAAGAATTGTAGGAGCAAGTCCATGGTTGTAGCGTCTCAAATGATGTACACTGCTGAGCGATTCATTCTGTCATGAATATATTGATAGCAGAATATCAAATGAATTGTTTACTCGTTTGCTATTTGATTTGTAACAGTTGATTCTCAAGTGCTGTTATCTTTTCGAGAGTTCACCTTCCTGAATGTTCTTCTGCAAATGGCGACCTTTTCTCATCATCTGTGGCTCCTGCAATAGGAGGTTGGACTGGCATCCTCACTTCAGCTTTATGAGAGGCCCTGGAACCTGTCCCTGCAAGGCTGTCCACTGCCTAAAGGGGTCTGCAGCCCTTGTATTGACCAAGTCAGTACAAAGTACACATGACTGGGGGAGAGGCAGTCTCAGAGGGGCACAGAGAAGTTGCATTATGAAGATAAAAAAAAAAAAGAATAGACATTCTCAAAACACCTAAATTGAGAATAATGATGGCATATATCAACAAGTACTGTTGACAAAAGCAAGCACAGTACAGTGGATACCATCAAAATGTGTTGCCTGAAGATGGCTCTGTGAGGCCAATTGATGTAGTCAGACATAGTATATATATATATATATATATATTAATGACATTTTAAGAGCACTTTAACTGACATTTTAGTGAGTTGAATGTAAGTGTGGTGTCATATGAAATAAAAATGTGTTGCATGATAGACCAAAGGAACTTTAGAAGGTTATAAGGCATGGCTTGGCTGCTATTAGTCCCTGGGGGTGTTCATGCTCTCATGGCAGTGCTTTTGCGACACACCAGGTGTGTAACGAGTGTGCCGGAATAATGGCAGTGGCGCCTTCTTCATCATTTTTCTACTTGTTTCTGTGATTTTGGTGGATTTTCTTCTGGCAAGTTTTTCCAGGATATCCTTGCAGTCTCTCCTAAGATGGTCAGTGCCCCTACACTGTCAGGATGTAAATTACCAGTTCCCGTGGCATTTTCTTGGAGTGGGCCAGCTTGTCCATGTTGTCTTCACACTTGTTTTCAGTCTGATGAAAGACCCAACTGTTAGCTTTAGGATCTCCATATTTAGGGTCAGCCTGTGGGTCTTATCGGGTGTCTTCTTGCTTCCCAGGTGGGGCTGCTGTTTTATGCCTTGGTGTCATGTCCCGTTGCTGCATCCTGGATTCATCCATCATCTCTTCTTGAACATTGGTCGTTCAGGAGCTCTGAGTAGAACATCGCATGCTGGTCATGCAGCACAGTAAGAAGGTGCATGGCCTCTGCATGCGGCATCCCTTCTTAATGTTCCACTGTGGCCTCTGTCTTTTCTTGGTTGGCTTCTGACACTTCATGATATGCCTGTGTCTTGATTTCTAATATTCATTGATTGGCCTCCATCTTTATTTACTTCATTTCTTGCAGTCCAATCTTAAGTTGGGCTTGCATCTATTCATCATTGGTCCTTCTCATGGCTTCCATCCTTTGTGACCAAAAATACATCTTAGACTCCAGCCTAACCACCATCCTCACTTGATGGACTTTCATTTTGGCTATCATTTCTTCTTGGTTTGCTTCTGTCTTGGCTTGGTTGGCATCCAGCTGGGAGGTGAGCAAACCTATCTGGGATTTCATTTCTTCTTGAAGGTCTGCCATCTTTTCTTGATTGGCTTTCATTTCTTTTTGAATGATGTCTGTTTTATCTTTGTTGACATCTGTCCAGGAGGCAAGAGACTTATCTAAGCGCTCATTTCATCCTGGTTGGAATCCATCCTGGCCCTCATTTCGGTTCTCAACACATAGATGACAGCTACCAGACATTCAAATTCCAGCATGATTATTCATCACATGGACTCCAGTCTGACAATGCACAATCAATTAGTCTGACAATTTATTCCATTCCATTTATCCAACAAGTCAATTAATCCAACTCCTGATACCAGTTATCATGTGTTTAGTGACTACACAGATGGTCTGGATTGGTAATTGGAGTTATTGAACTCATAAAGTTCATTCTAATGAACCCAATAGTGTAGGTGACTCCCCCCTCACTTGAGGTCGGAAACAGATCCAGTTTCTGAAACACTGTGTTCTCTGGTTTTTTAGAGTACTGGATGATGGACAAAGTCCAGAAACCCAGTAATTCTGAGTGTTATACACCCTTGTCAGAACCTTTTAGAATATACTTGGTTGATTGCTTTTATGTTTGATTCTGAGTTTCTTAATAGGGTACATTAAATTAATGGGGGATGGTTTCAGTGAAGCGGTAAGAATGTGAAAGGAATCATTTGTTTGCCTATTTTAAAGTAGTATTCTGATATTTGCATGGAAGGAGAGAGGAAATTCACTAAAATCTTAGGATACTCGTATCTAGTCTCTGACCTTATAACTCTGTAATATTTAGTAATATCAATGTTAAATTGTCATGGTCCTCATACAAATGTAGATTAAAGCACTTGGATTGTTTTTATTTTGTACTTTGTAGATATATTGCTTTCTTCTACATTAAGAACAGTCAGATTTTTCCAAGACTACAGCCTGAGTTATTAGCTACATCTAAGCAACAAAACTGAAAATTCAGTCATGTCCAGAGAATCTACCAGTTGCTGAGAAAACTTGAACTCAGTCTGTGTTCTTGCATCTATTTAGGTTCCAGTTAAATCTGCCATTGTAAATTTATATTATAGTGTGAGCTATGGCACTGGCAGTAAGATATCTGAACAGAGAAGGTGCACTAAAACAAGTTTTGTTATGAAGTAAGAGAAACAAATTGGTTTAAGTATACTCAGTTTACTTGTGCCTGAAAGAAAGTAAGCATGATTGTAAAAGTGTTCAGGACATATTACATGTAAATATGTACAGCATCACTAGATTGGTCCTCCATAAGAAAGCTAATCGGGGTTGGAAAGTTTAGATGTTTTATAAAGTTTACTGTGCCCTTATGTTGTAGTGAAATGCTACATTTGGAGCATAGCTCTGTATGGGGCTGAGACGTGGACACTTAGGTCAGTAGATCAGAAACATCTGGAAAGTTTCGAAATGTGGTGTTGGAGAAGGATGGAGAAGATCAGTTGGACCGATTATGTGAGAAATGAAGAAGTGTTAATTAGAGTCAATGAGCAGAGGAATATCCTACACGAAATAAGAAAACAGAAGGCTAATTGGATTGGTCATGTTTTACGCAGAAATTGCCTTCTAAAAGAAGTTATCGAAGGAAAGATAGAGGGGCGGATAGAAGTGACAAGAAGATGAGGAAGAAGACGTAAGAAGATGCTGGATGACCTTGGGAACAGAAGAGGATACTGTCATTTGAAGGACAAAGCTGTAGATCGCATTAAATGGAGGAATTGTTTTGGAAGAGACTGTGGACCTGTCGTCTTGACAGATTACTGATGATGATGATGTAGTAATTGGAAATTTAAAGTAAAAATTTTATGACCTTTTTTTCTATTTTCTGGCACTGACAAGCTGAAACAAAGTGGATTATGTCGTAAGGAATGGAAATTACATTGGAAAGTTAAGAACTGCATAAATACAAGGAATGCAGTCTGCCAGAATCTTTATCTTATGATCTCCTACCTGAAAACCGAAAGACAAAATTATAGAAAACTATAATTTTAGCTGTTGTATATGCATATGGGCACTTTGTCTCTCACTTTCAAAGGAAGGACACACATTGAGGAAATCTGAGCGCAATGCCTGAACCTAAGAAACAGGACATAACACAAGAATAGCATAAATTACATGGTGAGGAGCTTCATAATTGTATTCACCAAATATTATTACGGTGATCAATCAAGGATGATGAAATGTATGGGACTTGTATGGGGAGATGAGCATTGCATATGACCTACATGAAAGGAACAGGCCACTTGAAGGACTTTGGTATAGGTAGGAGGAAAATTTTAAAATGAATCTTAAAGAAATATGATTGTGGACTTAATTCAACTGGCTGTGGATGGGGTCAGTAGTAAGATGTTTATAGACGTGCTGTTGTACATGTGGGTTCCGTGAAAGTCAGGGAATTTATGGACGAGCTGGACTATTGTCAGCTTCTCAAGGAGAACTTTGCTCCATGGAGTTAGTTAATGTTAACTATTCAGCAGTATATACATTTGAATTTGTTAGTCTAGGACTTGTGTATTATAATATACTTATAATCCTTGCAGGAAGAGGCAGAGAGATTGTATACATCCTGTGGACGCTGGGACTTGTTGAACCAAATGTACCAGGCTGGCGGGGAATGGGACCGAGCCATAAGAATTGCTGAAGAAAGAGATCGCATCCATCTTCGTACAACATACTTTAACATCGCCTCCCACCTGGAGGCAAAAGGTGATTTTATGGGTGCAGCACAAATGTATGAGAAAGCAGATGTCCAACATACCCAAGTGCCCCGTATGCTGCTAGATGACCAACAAGCTCTTGAACAGTATATCCTCAAGTCCAAAGATCCGTAAGTGTTTCTGAATGTGGTGAAGTGTTCAGTGGTTGTTTATATGTCACTATTTGTTCTAAAGTTCCAGGCAGAAAATATGAATGAGACATCACAGCCTGCTGCACAAGCCTGCATTGACAGGGAACCTCTGTATACCTTGTAAAAGTGTTCTTAGTATAGTGCAGTGACACAGGATGCACAGAGTTCATAATGACCTGGACACCATGGCATTGCAGATATAAAAAGTAAAAGAAAAGTAAAGCTATTTCTGTAACAGACCGTGAAGGCCCATAGGGTTGTGAGATGTTCAGGGTCCCACATTATCTAGACAGTCGGCTCAAAGATAGCGGTAAGGTTGTCAGCCTTACACGCCGGCCGTGCTTTACTCCCCAGCTAAATCATTTAATTAATTCCTGGTACTCATTTCTGTTAGAGGCTGAGTCAACCCCAGGGCCATAGTGTGGCTGGAAGGATTAGGTCAATTGAAAACAATCCAATGACCTCATCGGTACTTGAACCCACGACCTTCTGGCTTGTAGCATAGTGCCCCAACCAACTACGCTACCACGTACCCCATAACATTGCGGATATACTCGTGCTCAAACTACAGTGCAACAACCCCCCCCCATTTCAAACATATACAAGTCTAGGAGAGAATAAAAATATTGGTCATGGATCTTGAGGAGACTGGAGCCATGAATGACTGTGCTGGCAAAGCCAGCTGTAATTTAACTGACTGACTATCCATAGTGAACTGGATGCCATGACAGTGCAGATATACTTGTGCTGAAACTACGGTGCAACAAATGTAGCACTTACGTAGGAAGACCCCCTCCCCTCCTTTGTTATAGAGGAGACCCAATTTTGTCTTAGGGGACAATAAAAATCTTGGTCATGGACCTTGAGGAGACTCTAGCCAGGAATGACTGTGCTTGTGAAGGCCAACAGCAATTTAACTGACTAACAACCAACAGCAAGTACCAAGTCAGTCAGTTCAGGCTCCTAATGCAAACAGTTCTTCTCTGAACAAAATGTCCAAAATAGTTGCAATGATATTTCAGGAGATTGTGATGGAGCTCAGTGGGGCCAAGTCAGAGGAATACAGAATAATGGCCATCACGAAAATTGTATTAAAACTCTTGAAGCAAAATGGCCACTAGAATTCGTAGGCAGTAAATGTGAATGTGCTGGTGAAGGCCAGAAGCAGCTGTAAACAAGAAATCCGTCATTTTGTCAAAGAGGGCACCTCACATCAACAAACCCTCGGCTGCCTGAGAGTAATAAAAATCTGGTCTTGGGGCCCCAGATGGGTACTTGAGACCTACACAGACTCGTCAACTCACCATTGTTTGTAACATAATTTTGATTTTGACTTCGACTTGATTTAATTGTGAGGCAGTTACAAGACAATTAAGGATGTGATCATGGAAGCAGAGCAACACCCATTGTTGGGAGCCACTACCAAGCAATGACCAGTAAGGGCTGTAACTGAGCGGAACTAAGTGTGTGCTGTAGTGTTTTTTAAAGTGTAGCTCAGTGAGGCTGTTATAATGATTTGTAGTTACAAGTGTTAAATAAAATGCAGTTATTCAAACCCATATCGGGTCACTAACATGTGACGATGTATTGCATCTGGATGCTGTCACGTGATGTGACAATTTTATGGAGTGTCTGAAAGCTGACAAGCGAATTATATTCATATCATAATCATGTTATATTTTAGCGTCCTGTTACACTGATTCATGACCATGGTTTACGATGGGGTACCCAAAAGAAACCGAACTAATTTTTTTGTGGGCAGAGCTTTTGTAGTACCGCGTTTTGCCTCTATGAGCGCATAGAGCTAACATCCTGAGTCGATAAGCCGACTACCGTTGCTTCAGAAGTTTCGGCAGAGTTTATAGTGACAACTGTTTTGTGTGATCGTCATTTTTGCAATGGCTGATTTTCGTGAACAGCGTGCGGCAGTGAAATTCTGCTTTTTGCCCAGGAAAAGTGGAACAGAAACTCTTGAAATGTTAAAAACGGCGTACAAGGACGATGCTATGGGGAAAACTCAAGTGTTTGAGTGGTTTTCCCATTTCAAAAATGGTGAAATGTCAATTGATGACAAACCTCGTTCTGGCCGTCCTTCCACGGCCCGAACACATGAAAATGTTGAAAAAATTCGTGAAATCATCAAGGAAGATCGACGACGGACCATTGAAGAAATTGTGGAGCTGTCGGGAGTGACTTGGAGCTCAGCGGCCAGATTTGTGGCAGTCGGGTGACTGGTTTTTCCATCATGACAATGCCCCTGCTCACACAGCCCTGTCTGTACGACAATTCTTGACCAAAAATGGTATGACCCCTGTTCCTCACCCTCCATACTCACCTGACCTTGCCCCGTGCGACTTTTTTTTTGTTTCCTCGAATGAAAAGAGACATGAAAGGAAAAAATGACGGAGGCGCTGTCAAGCATCTCAAAAGATGAATTTAGACAATGTTTTGAAAAATGGAATAAAAGGGTAGACAAGTGTATTAGTGTAAGTGGAGAGTACTTTGAAGGGGATTGAAGGTTTGTGCTTAAATTTTGAATAAATAAGTTTAAAAAAAATAAGTTCGGTTTCTTTTGGGTACCCCCTCTTATGCTAACCATCTTACAGTGTATACACTTTTTCACCTTATGCAGTAACAGGAGCAAAACACAACACAGAACACGATACACAAATGTATGTAGGAAGAATGCTCACATAAAAGAGGATTGGCATAATTCGCATGTTTGAGTGCGATGTAGGATGAATCCTGAAAAGTTTTATTATTTAGAATTCATCGACATATATGACGAATATAGATTTTAGTCATTTTAGAATGAAGACATCACGGCATGCAGTACAATAGTTTAACATGCATAAAGATACCTGAGGATGGCACATTAGTGCTGAAACATGTAGTGTGGAAGTGAAGAATAAGGTGAAAAAGTGTATACACTGTAAGACGGTTAGCATAAACCATGGTCATATCATAATCATCATCATGCATTGCAGAAAGAATTTTAATCTGCCAAAGACTCAAGATGGAAAGTTTATTTTCAGTTTGGTATTTAGTTATCGTTTGTATAACCTGAGGCTTCAATTTTTGAGTCTCATCTTGTTGAGAATTGTTGAATTATATTTTCCTGTCTTCATTGGTCAGATTAAATATTGTGGAAATTTGGCCTAACAAATAATAATTGACTTTTAAAATTCTAAATTAGAAGAAGAATAACTTTATTTCTCATTTTTACATTTGTATGTGTATGCATTATGATTAAATATAATTTGGTAAACACCATGAAATTACAGCATAAAATGGTATGTATTTATTCAGTACTCTGACATATATCAGCTCTCAAAGAGTCATCATTAAGGATGGCCCTTTGTGGGCAGAAACATGTCAAGGAATTGAATAAATAAATATTATTTTGTTTTGTAATTTGATGGGGTTTATTAAATTATGTCATGCTTTATTTCTTTTTAAATAAATACAGATAATGAATGCATCTAGTAATCTATATAGAAACACTGATCAGTTGCTGTTTCCAGAGAATATGCTTTAGGAACAAGCGCTTATTTGATCGATACTGTACAGAGAATATATCTGTCCTTCACTGTAGGCAGTTGGTAAAATGGTGGGGCCAGTACATGGAAAGCACTGGTAACATGGATCAAGCTGTTCATTATTATGAAGAGGCCAAAGACTACTTTTCACTGGTGCGTGTACTCTGCTTCCAAGAGAACCTGGCTCGAGCTTCAGAGATCGCTAGTGCCACTGGTGATAGAGCAGCATGTTATCACCTGGCTCGTCAGTACGAAGCAATGGGCAAGATTAACGAAGCCGTCGACTTCTTTTCCAGGTCACATGCTTATGGAAATGCTGTCAGACTCTGCAAGGTAGGCTAGCTGATAGAGATCTACATAGCCTATTGCTTCCGTCTTATCATATAGATATTTTAAGAACAATATTTGTATGGATTTTATCCATAGAAGTTCAGAAATAAAGATTTTTTAAATTAAAATCTTCTATTTTGATATTACTCCAATTTTATGGGCTCTGGCCATTAAATTATTCATGCCCATAGGTGCAAGGGCTCATGTGTGTGGAGTTTTGTAATGTTTGTCTGAACTGCCACTTATGTTTTGTGTTGTATTTTATTTATATATCCTGTCTTATGTTGGTTCTCATGTCCAGAGATAGGGACTGGCTGTATTGATTGGCCCCAGTTGAAAAGGCTTTTATCTGAGAAAGGCGACAGAGTCTAGTCTCCAGAATGTTGTTCTTAAATGAAAAACAGGCTGATGGTTAATGTCCAGAAAGTCAATAATTGTATTAAATTAAAACAAAAGTTTCTTATACGTAAATACTTGGCAGGAGCAAGGAATGGAATCGCAGCTGTGGAACATGGCATTGCTTGCTGGTCCTAGAGAACAGCTGGAGGCAGCACGATACTTTGAGTCCTCTGATAAAGCTCTGCAAGACAAAGCTGTCGTCCTATACCATCGGGCTGGCATGCTGCACAAAGCTTTGGACCTGGCATTCAAGTAAGTGTTTTAGTGTGCCTGATTGTCTGACACTAAGAAATTCAGTTCATGAAAAGTTCTGTTTCTGTGATATAAGGCTGTGTCTTCCATAATGAAAGTCATCGATGCTTCATAGGAACATCAGTGAGCTTTCACGAGACTGCGTGTCATTACATCCCAGTTACAACTGCGTGAACCTCAAATGCAACAAAATCAGTGTATGGCTGTTACTAGATGGCATCATTCTAGATGCTTATGCTGTCAACTGAACGTAACTCTACCTCTGGAAACTATGTGAAATGCTCTCCCCCCAATTTTCCTTCGTTTGTCCCTCAGGAATTCTATGAAATTTTACAAGTGATGGTATTGTCAGTCACATTATGTCAATTCGTTTGCTTATTAAGAATAGTGGAATATAGTTTTTCAAACAAGATTATACATAGTATAGGTAGATGAATAATTAACAACATAATAAGGCACTGTGGCAAAGAGAGGCATATTGGTATACAGTGGAACCTTGATATTATGAGAATTTATAAGATAAAAAAATACTTGTTATTAACGGGTACTTATGATATCTGAAAATGGTGAAATGTATAACCATGAGTCTGTCCTCAAACTTTTGATAATGTGTAATACGTTACAGCACTAGGGTTTAAATAATAGTTCGAATACAGCAGTATTTCTTTTTGTTTGAAGTGATTATTCTAGGGATATGAAAATATAAAAAATTTAGCAATGTCATTTCCATTTCCTGAACTGAAAAGATAAGATTTTCTTAAACGTACAAAACCTTTTTTGCTTACAACTGACCACAAATTAGAAGCTGTCATTTACGAGTAAACATTCTGCCCTGTTTCTGCACAGCTACAAACACAGATCACTCATATTCTGCTCACAATTTGCTGTGCATGCCCAAGTCCCACCCACATTCCACCCATAATTTGCTACACATGTCTACATGTGAGAAAAAATGTATTGACTTGTATCAGACCTGAGTAACAGACGTAACACACAAAGAAGTTTAAATTGCATTAGCACTCATGTCTGTGCACTGTATTTTTGTAAACAGTTGAGGTTAATGTTATATACAAGTTCATTGATATAAGTAGTTGCTCGTACAGTCTTGTCAAAAATAATACTAATTTTAATTATTTGTAAGAACTGTATTGCTATATTTAAGTGGTATTTTTTTTCTTTGGCGCTGTAGCCCTCATTTGGGCCTAGGCCTACCTCCATGAAACTCTCCGTTTCACTTCGGTTTGCTAGATCTTACACATTCGGTAGGACTCCTTGGGCAAGTGATTAGCTTGTCGCAAGGCCTCTACCTGTAGGCAAACACAGAAAAACGCACACAAACATCCATGCCCTGAGTGGGATTTGAACCCACGATCTCGGCTTCTGAGCGAGCGAAGACAGTGCATGCCTTAGACCGCTCGGCTACCGTGACCGGCCATATTTAAGTGGTATAGATGTTTTAAGTCTTCTGGGCACATATTGTGAAGTCTCCTTTGATATTTGGATCCCCCCTGAACATTGTCATCTCAGGATGAAAACATGTCAGGTGACTTAATAGTGCTTGATCAGTAACAAGGAAGTAGGGTACATGTATGTGGATGGTAAGTTCACATTTTATTTTAATCTTACCACAAAATAAAGTAAAGTAGAGTTGACCCTGTGCTTATTTTGTTAAGCACCACATCAGAAGACATATGGGGGCGTATATGTGCAAATCCATATATTCTTAACCAGGGCACTGGATGGAGGTGAGTTGTGAGCTTCATACCTCAGCCACTCTACCTCCAAGGAAAGAGCTCTCAGTACCTGTTAGATATGAGGCTGGGTGAGCCACAGAACTGGTCTGGGCACTGGAGAAGAGAGATATCTCTCACCCCTGCCAGGAATCAAACCCTGATTTCTTGGCTGTCCAGCCTGTAGCCATTCACTATACAGATTGAACTATCCTGATCTTAAAGTTTAATAAAGTATATTTCTCCCTGTATACTGTTACAGAACCCACCAGACTGATGCTCTTCAGCACATTGCATTGAGCCTGGATTCAAAATCAGACCCTGCCATAGTGCAGAAGTGTGCACATTTCTTCGTAGAGAATTGTCAGTATGAGAAAGCTGTCAATCTTCTTGCCATAGGAAAGCAGGTATGTCCTTGGAGAAGCCTGGGTGCTGTCTAGCTCTGAAACTGTTCAGAACAAACCGAACAGGGTTTTAATTCTAATTGCAAGGTGCTTGATTTTAATGTTTTCCAGGAATATGAATATTTACTAGTACCAAATATGTGGTACAGTCATTAATTTCGTGGACTGTGGTTTTATCGCATCATATTACAAAGTATTCACATACACGTACACAGATCCACATCGACCCTCAAAGTAGTTGCCGTTGGCTGTTATGCAAGTCTGCCAATGTTGATATACCTGCCAAAAACATTGGCAAGAAATTCCTATACAGCATCTCTTGTGGCATTGATGACCTCCTCGGATGACTAAAATCTACAACCAAGTAGCTTTGCTTCCAAACGGTGAAAGAGAAAGAAATCGCATGGGGCGAGATCAGGTGAGTTTGGAGGGTTTGACAAAACGGTGACCTGTTGCCTTGCCAGTTCCTCTTGGACAAGAGCAGAGGGATGAGCAGGGGCGTTGTCATGTAGCAGTAGCCAGTTCTTCCTACGCCAAATGTTTCACTAGGGGATTTGCCTAGTTTCTGGCAGAACTTGATGTTTGTCCGTTGTTCAAACTGCCACATTTTTTATTTCCACCACCCGCATTTAACTGCAGTACACGACAGAGGCCGTAGTTCTGCTTACACTGTTTGCACCCAACTGCCTCTTGCTGTGATGAGAGATGAACTGAGAGGGCATCATATCGTGCCTCAACCTATCCACTGTAGTGCACTGCAACAACATTTTGCGGCCAGTCCATGAAATTATTGTCTGTGGTAATATTGAAATGAATATATGAATATATGAAATGAATAATGAAATTTGATGCGCAAAATTGAAATTTCTGTAGATGCATCCTTTGTAGAATATGAAGTCCAAAATAATGCAGCAATGTTCATTTTGCTCTTTTAATTGCCCTTCCCCCCCAAAATAGAGGAATGACTACATGATTGTATACATGTTGTACAGCTTTGTGCAGTGATCATGTAATGTAATGTGTTTTTAAAACATGCGTAACCCTGTTAATGTCTGTAGAATATTTAAGCCTTTATTTCTTAAAATTATTTCTTAGGAAGATTGTTGACTTATATCTAATTCTGTTTCTGGCAGTATGTGGAGGCATTATCTTTGTGCGTTGAACACAATATACCGATAACAGAGGATCTGGCTGAGAAGCTGACAATGAACAAAGGAGAAGGAGATGAAGCAACCCGGGTTCAAGTCCTGGAGAAAGTAGCAGAAAGTGCAGTAGCTCAAGGCAATTACCATCTGGCCACCAAGAAGTTCACCCAAGCTGGTAATAAGGTAATAATACTCAAAAAAAGTGTCCTGTGTTTATGTTCGGGGACGAACTCAACCATGTTGACTTGTTTCATCATTTCTGCTTTGCCTTGGGTTGGAGAGTGTTGCAAGAATTACAGTGTGTCCATGTGTTCATGCTTGCTGCTGTTGTGGCGACAGCAGCAGCAGTGGTTGTTTATATCCTTGAGTAGAATGTTAACCTTAACTTCAGAGGGTAGAGATAAGAAGCAATTCTTTTAATTGATGGACTTGCAACACAAGAATCTTGGGCACTGCTGATCAGGTTGGCTCAAGCAGTAATGCTTTAGACTTTTATTTTGTAGGTGACTGGTTCATATTGTTACATACATTTTTTGTGACTAAAGACACGGGTTTGAATCATTGAGTCAGTGTATTGGATATTCACTAGTTTTAACTACAATAATTATAACACTTTCAAGATTCTGATAATTATATATATATATATCTGTTTTATCTAGGATTCCCTACTGTTGTCATGGTTTTAAGGGGGAAGGTGTTTATTGGCTGTCACATAGAAACTGCAGGTCTTCTACTGTTGCCTGTATTCATTGCCGTAATAATATTCGTCTGTTGTTATAGAAACGGCCCATGTGTCACAGTATCTTAGCAGGAATACCAGCTGTCCTTATTGAGGTTTCTACAGTTTTCCTTACTGCCTCCAGGAGAATACCACAACACTACCTCAAATTAGGCCATGACCATCCTCCTTCCACACCTTTTCCAATTCATTATTCGATACATCATTCTATCTTTCAATGCTGTATTATCTTAAATACTGACAGCACTTTTAAACAAAATACTAGTGATGTGCATTTCTGAATATGGCAATAAAGCTTTTATAAGAGACAGGAAATTCCTTGACTGACTGAGTTACTGTCAGCTTATCAAGAAGGACTCTCTTCAATGGAATTAATGCAAGAAAGATTGCTCACCAAGGAGCTAGACTGCAAGACCATGCCATAGCTCAAGTGGTTAGTCGGTGGCTTCCTACCGTGGCGGCCCGTGTTCAATCCCGGGTCTGGTCAAGTGGGATTTGTGGTGGACAAAGTGGCGCTGGGGCAGGTTTTCTCCAAGTACTTCGGTTTCCCCTGCCATTCTTCAGTCCACCAATTGCTCCACAATCACCCTCACCTATCATCTGGGGCTGGTACAATAGGCCAGAAGTGGCCGCAGTACAAGGGACTTAGTCCCACCCCACTAGCATTAAAAAAAAAGAAGCTAGACTGATGTTGGAAACTTTCAAAAAGATTTTGAGATTTCATTCAGTGTATAGAGTTCTGTAACAGAGGAAGAAAATATAAAGTGGACTTCAACTTCATGAAGTATGCTGATTCCAATGAAGTATTTCTGAATTCCAAGTTTTAAGGACATGCTGTACTTTCTCCTAATTTCAGTAAGTGGCATATTATACTAAGCAGTTATGTGCTGTGTTGTCTCTATCTTTTGGCTGCTTCCTTTTTTTTAGACATGATGCAAGTAAATATAAAATGTTTGAAGAAATTGTATTCTTGCTCAACTGAAATTATGGATCAGTTTTTTTCTTTTCCCGGTATCTACAGGTGGCAGCTATGAAGGCATTGCTGAAATCGGGAGACACAGAGAAGATCGTCTTCTTTGCCAATGTATCACGACAACGTGAGATCTACGTCATGGCTGCCAACTACCTTCAGTCACTCGACTGGCAGAATCAACCAGAAGTACTCAAGAACATCGTTGCTTTCTACACCAAAGGCCGTTCTCCAGATCTTCTGGCAAATTTCTATGTGGCTTGTGCACAGGTAACTTACATTGCTTTCTACTTGACACTGAATTATTACAACAGATTTGATAATATGTAAATATATGTAATGTTTATCTTGGTTCAGAATAATTGATGTCTCAATGTCACTTAGCCACTTTTGATCTTGGTGCCAGGTTATCTATTCAACCCGTATTTCACTTTTCACTAGTATACTATAGGCTTCATGTGTAGGTTTCTTCATGCATGAATCCTGTACCCTGCTTCTGGCTCGACGGATCTCTATACATCTGTGCAAATTGCAAACTCCACAACATTTTGATTCAGGATTATTCATTCTGGAGAACACTGGGATGGCAGCACAGGCTGGAGGGTCCGAGAGTATTTTAGAAGCTCACAGGTGGGGGATGAAGAAGCATCCAGGGAGAAGCAGGCATCTGCTCCTCACATTTCTTTCATAACTTGGCACTTCTGGAAACCACGTGGTAGCTCTGGCTTCTTGCTGTGAAGTGTGTGTGTCTTACTCTCTCACTTGCAACTCTCATAGCATGATAACACAAGTTTTTTTATGAATACAATAAAGCTTACAATATATCAGAAACATCTAATATCTGTATATTTCACATTCAAAATTCATGATGGGTAATTTTGTAATTCTTAAAAGCAGAGGGGAAAAACTTATTTGCTGCTTGGACAAATATGGTACTGATCACTTGACAAGCAGAGCAAAAGTAGTTATCAGAAAATTCTAGAAATTTGAGGCTGAAAAGTGAATATTCAAATCCCAGTTTTTGCTTGAAATTTTGAGATTAACACATGCTTATTTCTTTGAATTGTGTAATATTATTTTTTTCGAACATTTTAACCCACAGTTTGTACATAGTCATATTCAACTCATTTGGTGCATATCTTGTTCCGATCATGAATTACTGTCTGGTTATATCAAGAAGGGGACTTGGATGGACACGAGAAACTTAGAAAATTGTGACCAGAACATTTTTTTTTATTTCTAGTGGGGTGGGACTAAGTCCCTTGTACTGTGGCCAATTCTGGCCTATTGTACCAGCCCCAGGTGATAGGTAAGGGTGATTGTGGAGCAATTGGTGGAATGAAGATTGGCAGGGGAAACCGAAGTACTTGGAGAAAACCTTCCCCAGTGCCACTTTGTCTGCCACAAATCCCACTTGACCAGACCCGGGATCAAACCCAGGCCATTGTGGTGGGAAGCCAGTGACTAACCGCTTGAGCTATGACCCAGCCTGACCAGAAAACTTAGAAGGATGAGAACATGTGGAAGACCTAAACATGGACTAGAAGATGACATTGACCCACCCTGTACGGTCAGTCCTGCCTGTTCTAAACCCCATTATTGTCTCTACTTTTAGAGCATCACCACTTCACATTTTTGGCATTTTTTCACTTCATTGGCAGTATTGTTAATTTTAGGTGGAGGTGGATGAATATCAGAACTACGAGAAAGCTCTTGGTGCCCTCAGCGAAGCTAGCCGATGTTTGGCCAAGGTGACAACACCTCATGACCCAGTACAACACCAAAGGGTCTTAGACAATCTCAACACTCGCATGGTCCTAGTCAAGAGATTTGTTGATATCCGCAGGTCAGAATTCTGTAATGCGAATATTGATAGCTTTTGTTTTCTGATTGTCCTGTCAGACATAGAGACATATTTAACAATGTAAGAACTTTCTTGCAAGAATAAAGGAGAATATGATTTTAGAGTTCTCAGTCATTTTCAGGAAATAATCTTTTTCCCTTTCTCAGGACAAATGAAAGTAGTCAGCATCTTATCTGGGTATTCACCCTTTAAACTTTTGAAGCAGTTGACTGATCTTGATGAAATTTGGCATTGTACTGTAGTTCTCCACAGCCTCGCATATTTCTCTTTCCTGCATTTAGTAATAGGGACCTGTGACGTAGAATTTATACTATTGTCAATGTAGGAAATTATGTGTAATAGTAGATCTTGAAAAATATGACTCTTTTGTTAAGGTAGCATTTTTTCTAGACCCTAAAATAACAAAAATATTTACCTTTCAGTTTTACAGGCACTAAGGGGTGGTCTGCAGCCTCATGGTTGGTCTGGGAGGTGGTGCAGCTCATTAACTTAAAGAACCAATATTTAGAAAATCTCATAAAAGACCTTGGACTTTCATTGAAATGACATGAGCTACAAGAAATGCATGTGTGATTTGGAACGTGAAATGTCTGTAATCTCCATAGGCCAGGTTTATTACTAACAGTAATAGCAAAACTGGCAAAGTAAAAGTTAGATTTAATGGGAGTACAGGAGGTCAGCCAGAACATTCATGGGCCAACAAATAGTTATCTTTTCTCTGGAAATGAAAATGATAGTCATCACTTAGGGACAGACTTTTTTATACATTTGGGAATTGAATTAGTAATTAAAAGAGTGTAGATTTTGTTACTGATAGGGTAAAGAAAAAAGTAAAAGTATCCCTGTAACAGACCGTGGAGGCCCATAGGGTTGTGAGATGTTGAGTTTCCCACATTTTCTAGACAGTCGGCTCTTAGATGGTGGTAAGGTTGTTAGCCTTACGTGCCAGCCGCCCTTTACCCCCAAGAGTATTCCAAGAATATTCCTGGTACTCATTTCTGTTAGAGGCTGAGTCGACCCCAGGGCCATAGTGCGTCTGGAAGGATTAGGTAAATTGAAAAATCCAATCCACCTTATCAGGATTTGATCCTGTGACCTTCTAGCTTGTAGCATAGTTCCTCAACCAACTACGCTAATGTGCATGCTTCAGCTGAGGATGAAAGTGATGTTACAAGGAATGTCCCTTACAAAGAACTAGAGTATATATTTGATCAATTCCCTGACTAAGGTAAAGTTTTCCCTCTGCTTAACTAATTAAGCACTGCACCATGAAGACATATACGGGAGTGGATGTGTTGATCCATTTATTCTTGACCACAGAACTTGGAAGTGTGTTCTCAATTCCCTGAGTACCACATAAATATTTTATTGGGAGATTTCAGTACCAAAGTAGAGACGGAAGATATTCTCAACAGACGAATGTGAAAGGGAATTTACATGAAAATTTTGATGATGATGATGAGGGTACAGTAGCAGACTTTTCCAAATTAAGAAACTGAATTTAATTATCAGGAGCACAATGTTCCCACATTGCAACATTCTTAAATATCCTTGGATTTTTCCATATGGGAAGACACGCAGTCAGATTAATATGCATGGTTAAATAAAAGGTGGCATTGAATGTACTTGATGTCCATCCTTTTAAAGGAGCTAACTGTGATACTGACCACTGTTTGGTGACTGCTAACACTGGGAACAAGCTATCACTAAACAAACAAACAAACAAACAGTGCAAAGGAGAGATTCAATATCAAGAAATTAAATGGTGTTAAAGGTAAAGAACGGTATTAAATTAAAATCTCAAACATGTTTGCCATTTTGAAATTCTTAAATTATGTTGCTTACATCAATAGTGCATGGGAAAGTACTGGAGAGACTATTGAAACTTCAATAGGTAGCTTAGGTTAGCATGACGTAAAACAAAATGAGCCTGCTTTAGTAAAGATTGCTAAAATTATTGCACTTGAAGCAAGCTGTGTTGCAGTGGGTGCATAATCCAAGGCAAATAATGGAAATAGTGTGAATAGTGTAAGACATGAAACTAATAGATGTTTCAGTAACAAAAGGTAGGGGTATCCAGAAACAGTAAGAACAAAAATATTGGAGACTTGTACAAAAAATTTTATCTGATATGCAGTTTGGCTTTATTTTTTATTAATATACAAGGTGGTTCAAATATGACCGGGACTGATTAAAAAAAACATAATTGCCCAACACATACTTGCACATGTCAGTCTTCAACGTACTCCCCTCCCGAGTCAACACATTCTCCACGCGCTCTCTGCCCTCTCTGAAGCACTTACACCACTCAAACACACGGGTCCATGAGAGACTCTTCCCCATACTGTTGTTGGAGTCTGTGGTGAATTTCAGCGGACGGGACGTTTTCTCCAACGAGGAATTTGATCACAATGCGTTGTTCCACGCTCTGGGGTACCTTCTGTACGCTCATCCCTCTAACAACTCCCAGACAGCACTGAACAGGTTCTAACCCTAACAGGAGGGAGAGTGGAGGTTGTGGCTACAATCTCTCAAGGTCGCACAGCTGCTTCGCAGTGCGGCTTGTTTACAAAAAATCAGCCCTGGTCATATTTGAATCACCAAGTAATAGTGAAATTAGACATTAGGCTTTGAATGCATATAATAAAACTTGTATTTAAAAGTTATTACATAACAAATTTGATGTTTCACTCACATAAAGGGTTGCTGATAGAGGTGACCAGGAGACAGCTCTTTCCCAGTGTCGTCAATTGTTACAACATTCTGGTGACCTGGATGCTGCTGGGATACGAGTGGGTGATGTTTATGCTCTCATGGTAGAGAGCCTGATGGCGGGTGGAGACTTCCGAGGAGCTCAACAACTGGTGGAGGAATTCCGACGTGTGGCAGGTCCAGGGATCAATCTTGCATATTATTTGTCCTCATCAACATTAGGAAAACTGGCCCGTGAACTGGGCATGCCCCTTTCGGGTTCATTTGCATCAGGAGATAAGGTAAGAGCAGGACCTGTGAGACAAGACAGAGTGACTGACCAGGATGAACCACTTGATGAAGAAGTGGAGGTTGTAGAAGAAGAGGAGGTTTTAGAAAGAGAAACAAACTCTCCCACACTTGTGTTTAAAAATGGGCAGGCATATGCCATCTAGTTCAGAGTTACTGCCACTTGTGTACACCAAAGAAGGATTGGGGAAGTCCACCGCATGATCATTGCACCAATAGAGTGTGTTTTGTCATGAGTTGGATCTTCTATCCAGTCTAAGCAGAGTCTCAGCATAACGTACATCATAGGAATTTAATTATGTGCTTATTCTTTTGTATAATGTGTTTGAAAATTTGATGTTCATAGTTAATACTTATTTATCTCCATGCACCTTGAAGTTCTGAGATGCCATGCCTCAGTAAAGGTATGTGGACCTCAAGGATTCTTTACTATTTCCACTTGTCTAGAAAGTACTGATGTAATTTTCCCATTTCATTTTGTTTTTGGGTATGCCTGATGATTGGTTTGTCAGCAGTTTTCAAAGTACAAATGCTCTACATCAGGTTAAACCATAAATGCATAACCAGGAATAATCTGTTTGTTTCATATGATTTTAACTTCGCTGGATTTTGAGTTAACTTTCTACTATAGAAATGATCTTCCTATAGTTCCTACTTTTGTTAAAAAGCCATTTATCTCCCTTGTTTTTACTTCAGCATGGTGGCCAAAACTTCTTTCATACAGAGCCCACATTTCAGAGAACTAAACATGTAAAAATCTGATTGACTGGAATTTTGGTTACATGGAGAAGGAAGTTGTACTTCCCTACTGGGGATACATGGTAACATATTTGGTTTCACCATGCTACATGCTGGAAGGTTATGGGTTTGAGTCTCGATAAGGTGAATATTTTTTTTCAATTTACCTAACATTCCAGCTGCACTATTGCCCTGAGGTTGACTCGGCCTCTAACAGAAATGAGTACCAAGTATCTTCGTGGGAGTAAAGAGCAGCCAGCGCATGAGGCTGACAACCTTGCCTCTATCCGTGATCCGATTGTCTAGAAGATGTGGGAGCCTCAACCTCTCACAACCCTGTGGGCCACCACGGCCTGTTACAGGGCTAACTTTGCCTTTACTTCCTTCCTGAGATATTCACTTTCTTTTTCACATAATCTGGTTTTGCATTGTCATGAAAGTGAGGTTCCTTTAGTGTGCTCTTAATCTATTGTGGCATGCAAAAAATGATTGCACATGTTGGCATTCATGTGAAATATTTCTGTATCATGATGCCAGTATGAATACGATTGATGAAAAGTAAACATGGTAACAGTTATGATATTATAATATATGTATTTTAGGAGATTTGAAATGTAGTCTGTATTATTCACAATGTTGCTGATAATATCAGAAAATTCTGGTCTGGTACTTGTATTTGAATGATCCTGCATGCATGATATTAACAACATAAATCTAAGAAAATCATATATTTTACTATAACTGTGTTCTTTTTAAACAGAAAATGTGCACAATGTTATAAATATTTAAATCAAATTCTGACTGAATCAAATTCAGATTAAACATATTGTAACGTGTCGGCAAACCAGAGGGGTAACTTCTATGGAAACGCTACAATAGACCGTTACAGAGGAGACAACAATTGCTCCATGGTAATTCTAACAGGAGTCTCCATGGTTATAACGGAGGGTTCGTTGCCTAACAGCGGGCAAGGTTATAGATAGCCCAGCTTCAGCGAAAAACAGTGCGTCTCGGAATAGCATTCGAAGAAGTCAGTCGCGGAACAGCCTTCGGAGAAGAAACTTCGGAATATCCGTCTGGGTCCAGTATCGCCGGAATATTGTAAGCAGTGATTGTGACACTGCAAGTGAAAATGCCTGTAAAGTGTGTGTAAGTGAGTGAAAGGAATAAATTCGCTATATTGGGACAACGGCACGAACTTATTTGTGGCGTGACACACAAACACGCTACAATATTTTTACATCTGTGAGGTTAAAAGAACTTATTTTTGTTAGTGTGTTGGCATGCATGTTATTTAGGTTACCTTTTGTTATACCCATCCCTTCTTTTACTAAATCACTCAGTTGTGAAAATGATTTATCATTTTAGGAGACAGTATTCTGGATTGTGAAGTTTAGAAGTAAATTATGCATTGGAAAATTGTTGCAGAATTAAGGTCACATAATTTTAATGCTGTTAAATATGTTGGGCCATAAGCAGATTCAGGGTAGTAATGTACTTAGTGACTGTAATTCAGTTGACACCTGAAAACTCATGTTTCCTGTTGCTGTGAATAATCTTCCTATTAAATATTGATGATTTCAGTAGTAATTACTGTGGAATGTTAGTTTTCAGAATTTATGATACAACCTAATGTTCAGAATACAGTTCCAGAATATTGTTTGCAAATTTGGAAATCTGTAGTAATTTCTTAAGTAAACACTGAGATGAAAGATTCATTAGATGCATGTGCACAGGAAGTGTCTTTAACTTTTATTTAAACTTGGATTATAAGAGAAATGAGTGTATTAAGTGACAGTGATTTTTATGCACTGTATGTATACAGTTGTTAATGTACAGTTATGAGAAACATATTTTTAGCAGTTGTTAATGAACATGTATGAGAAAAAAACATATCAGCATTAACAGGGAATGTTATATTGCATTTTGATGTTAGATATACTCAAGTCAAGTCATGTCATGTCATGTCATGTCACCGAAGCATTAATCTGTCATAGTTCATTGACAGTATTCAGCATGCTGAACCAGTGATCATAATGATTTTACATCTGCCCCCATTTATTACACTTACACCTCGCTACTTGAATGCGCAATTGAAATAATTTTAAATTAAAACAAAATTAACAGATGTTAGTTTAATCCAGTAACTTTTCATAGTCCATTTTGTATTGTTTGTTTTTGTTATTACTACCATTAACACAGACGTTAGGATAATGCAGTTTTGCTTGGTGTGGGCTGTATTCATGTGACTCAGCACAGGGACAGGCTGCGAGTTCTTGTGGACAGAGTAATGGACTTTTACTTACTTGTGGAGCTGAACCCTTCTTGAGAAGTCGCCAATTGTGCAGCCACTCAAGAATTTCCCAGCATTTTATGGAGCATTTTATGGAACATTTTTATGTTCACAAGAGCCCTCCAGCGGTCCCTATCCTGAGCCAGATCAATGCAATCCATACCATCCCATCCTATCTCTCTAAGATCCATTTTATATTGTCCACCCACCTGTGCCTTGGTCTTCCCAGTGGTCTCTTTCCTTCTGGCTTTCTCACCAATATCCCATATGCATAAAATGCTGGTAATTTCTAGAGTTGCTGAGCAATTATTATGTTCTCAAAAAGGACTGAGATCCATCTAGTTAGTTATCAGTCAGTTAATCAGTTAAATATGCTTCAGAGATAACTGTGTTTCTGAACTTTGTCCATCATCTAGTACTAGAAAGAGCACAGTATTTTGAGAATTGGATTTTTTCCATCATTCAGTGGAAAATGGGGAGACACTTACTCATTTGAAAACACTAGAAAGATCTCCTCTCAATCACTGGACCTTTCTAACAGACTTATCTGAATAGGTGCCTCCCCTCCTACCATCTGAGGAAGGAGAGAGATCCAGTTATTAAAATGTTTGGTTCTCTCTGAATATTAAACAGTGAACAAAATCCATATATACAGTTACACCAAATGTAATGTGTTATTTTCAGTGCCCTTTAAAATTTATTTGTTCTGTGGGGCTCTTATTGTGTAGTCTTGTCATTACTCCTATGACAACCCACTTCTTCGGAACAGTTTGTTGGCCCTGAAAAGGACCGCGGTTGATGCGGAGAGGTAACGCGGCGCGCGCCGGTAGGGAGAGAGTTTAGTTACGGTGAATGGCTGGTGAAAGGCTAGTGAAAGGCTAGTCGTTGAGCGCGGGTCGCTGGAGCGGAGAGGCGGTAGCTACGCCAGTTGCCCAGTGTGTCAGGTATGACTACCAGCGAGTCCGTGCGGCCTAGTTGCCCAGTGAGTCGGGTGCGACCGGCAGACAGCCGTGGCAGTCATTCCTGGCGCAGCGAAGCGCCGATGCCTCTGTAGACCGAGCGCTGGCGACGAAGCCTGCTGGCTGATGTTGCTTGGTGTGGCTAGCTCGTAGACTGATGATGAAGTGAATACTCGGCATTGGAGCTACCCCCTTTTTATACACTGCTCGGTGGGGCGGAGTGAAACTCGAAATTGAGGAGGAAGAATTGATTGGCTAGCGCGCGTAATGACGTAGATGCGGGCTAGCAGTGAGCGTGGTATAAATACGAACGTTTGAAGCAGTCTGATTGGTTAGCGCGCGTGATGGTGAAAAGTGATGTGAAGAGCGAGCGTTGCAGAAATGCGTGATAATGTGGGATGTTCCCACAGTTCTTTATTATTTGTATTTTATTTAAGGTAAGATGATGGTAGAGAATAATGAATTGACTGCTTGAGCCAACTTGTTTGTCCATATTTGGTGGACTTGGTGTAAGACAGTGAACTCTCATTGAAAGAGTTCTGCTTCTGATCCCCACTCAGATCTGTCTGTAGATTGCCCTACCAAAGGTAAACCTTGGGAGTTTGAAGAAGACCTGGTTCCCCTCTATACTTTAAGACCACCCTGTTGGCTGGGGTAATGGAATCTGTCCTGTGGATGCAGAAATTGCAGAAATGGATTTTATGTCTTTTCTAGGTCGGTAGAGGCTGGAAAGATCAGTACAGGCTATGTCTGAAGGCACTAGACAAATAATGGATATGCTTTTCCTATGTATCAAATCCTATTCTGATGATGCACAAACAAATGAAACAGCAAAGGGTTTTCTGAAGTTCGGTACTCTGTCTGTCTCACATAGTACAGTACAAATCACTAGCATATCAGAACATACTTAGATATACATTTATATACATTAACACAAACATTTCTATTTGTAGTTGCATTTGCCCTTGTTAAGAGGCCCATTTTTTAGGTAAAATCTTGTCTTGTCCGTCCATAGGATGTCATCCATCATGGGATCATCAGATGTATATTTTTTTTATTGTTAGTGGAGTGGGACTAAGTCCCTTGTACTGCGGCCACTTCTGGCCTATTGTACCAGCCCCAGATGTTTGGTGAGGGTGATTGTGGGACAGTTGGTGGAATGAAGATTGGCAGGGGAAACCGAAGTACTCAGAGAAAACTTGTCCCAGCGCCACTTTGTCCACCACAAGCCCCACTTGACCAGACCCAGGCTCAAGCCCGGGCCACCACGGTGGGAAGCCATCAGTTGTATATAGTATAGAAATATTACCAAATGGAAATTTTGTTACAAGTATCATGCTTTTGGACATTATCCATCGTCTTGTCAGTATTTATAAACCGTCCTGTTTATTTTCCAAACACAACGTTTCAAAGACTGGATTCTGTCTGTGCTTAAGAACAGCAGAAGAAAACCCAGGTATTGTTCTTTACATGCTAAGTACAAAACAGCTTTCTTGAAAGCCCTGGCCTTCTGGTTGGAATTTTATTTTTATT